ACCCCTTGAGTTACTCACCACTGAGTGCTCTGTTTGTGAAGATGCATGTGGTAACAGCCTTGTTTTTCTCTGGTTAGTTTGTCTTTTGTGCATTTAATTTGCAGGATACCAGAGAGAGAACCAAAGAGGGCAGAGGGAAATTTTTTTTCTCCCTTTTACTGACACCAGCAACATGAGAGTAAAGGAGCCTTCCTTTCTTGCATGCCTAGAAAATTTCATGTACATTTTATCACTGAAATTCATACTATTACATAATTTTATGCCTGTCTTCCTCTCAGGACTATCATTTTCATTTGATTATCCACAGTAAGTTCTTAAAAATATTAGTTGAATTTATGAGTGAGCATGAAGTAGAGATATTTTTCACTGAGATTCACTTCTTCATTACTTTTTAAGAAAGAAATACTGCCCCACTTTAGGCATATCTTAAATATGCAAGTCATTTTTCCAATACAACTTAATAGCTTTTCCCTTCCTTATTCTTCTCATTTTCTTTATCTAGCAAAATAGAGGGATATCAAAGAATACTGTTACAGAGAGAGGGCTAGAAGTACACAAAAGACACAGTCTTTTAAAATCACTGTATCTTTCTGGTTCTCAAGGATAAAAAATTACTTGTAGGATGTCCATATAATTCAAACCAGATAAACAAGACACTGGACTGTCCAAGTGTCACTGCAGAGCATCCTTTTCGAACAGCAGGTGGAGAGTCACCTCACTTGACTAGCACATGGGGCTTGTGAGGACGGTTAATTACAGTGGGTACATACTGTTTCAAACACTGAGTGTCAGCAAGGTCTGACTAATCAACCTGAAGTCAGAAAACACCTAGAGGTAATATGTTGGGGTTGCTGACTATATCTGGGACATAGGACATTATGGATGAGATTCGAGGGCTTCCTAAAATTTTATGCACAATTTATTTTTCTTTGAAGACAGTCCACAGCGTTTGTATCTCAAGGATAACATCTATGTGCAAATTCTGTGAACACAGGAAAATTCATCACTCTATGTTACATATGCCAGCACTCCCTGGTGGTGCAGGGGTTAAAGTCTTAGCACTATGAAGATATCACTAGCCACCGTGGCATGAATTCGATCGCTGGCCAGGAAGCAAACCCACATGTGGCAGCAGACCTCTCCTGTCTTGCCCTTAGCGTTGTATTTTCAGTATATAGGCCTGTTCTTCTCCCCACTATGTCTCTGGGGAATCCTCTCACCCCTGTACCTCTGGCCTATACCCCAGTTCTTATATGCATAAATAAAAATAAATCATTTAAAAATTATCCATATGCCTTCTAACTGTGCATAAGTCACTGTGTAGGTTACACACAGGAATAACACAAGTGTCCTACCCTCAGGTAATTTATCACCACTTATGTGGCAGAGACAGCTATAAACGGGAGTGATGCTAAAGTTAGGCTCATTAGCACAAGTTTATTGAATACCTCTATATCCTTGGTGCTGTGCTTAGTTTTTGTTACTCTAAGTCTCACATCAACTCCACTCACATTCCCTATTTTATTGAAGTAAAAGGTTAAGAGTCCTGATCAATATCACATTATTAGTAACTGGGAAAACCTTTAATCCAAAGTGCTGCCTTGCCCTAGGAGCATCTGTAATAAGTGCCATAAAAAAGGTGTAAGATTGGATTTCAAGCACATCAAAATTGTAACAAAAAAATCATTTCCAACCAAAAATAAGTCATTTTGATGTTATCCATTAGTCTTATGTATGGCACAAAACAGTGACTAAAAATGTACACTAGACTGGGTATTCCAAAAAAATGTTATGAGCATAAATCATGTAGATTTAATTCCAGGGGAGACATATATTGATGTCCTGAGCATCTCTAACTTCTAGCTTCGGAGGTTTATACATTCGAGTCACAGAGTCAGGAAGGGAAAGAGGGGGCTGGGAAGTAGAAAAATAGAGATGGGAAGGGATGCTATCCTGATGTATCCAAATAGCTACTTGAGATTTTGCAAAAACCCTGACCCTGAACTATTTTATGGCTCCAATTACCCTAGCACTTACTAGTCCTTAAATTAGGAGCTGCAAAACAGCTGCCCCCCAAACCCTTGGTTTTGTAGGTCTGCATATCATTTTATTTTTATTTATTTATTTTTTTCTGTTTTAACTCTACAACCTATTAGTAGGATAATTGTCTTTTATTTTTTAAAATAGATTTTATTTTTATATTTCCCATAAATTGCAACCCCCTTATTTTGACCCCAATCCCTCCCCTCCCCGCCCCCCATCCCCCATAGAGTGTCTCTGGTTCATAGTTGTTTGTTGATTTTGATTTTCACTTTCTAATAGTTATTCATTTTCCTGGTCCCTTATTTAAGTTTTCTAGATTCCTGCTATGAGTGAGACCATCCGGTATATTTCTTTTTCTTTCTGGCTTATTTCGCTGAGCATGATCTGCATATCATTTTAAAAATCATTATTTCAATACACTTAAGGAGGGCTTTCCATTTTTAATTCCATTGCCTTCCTATGAATTTATACCTGGCTCACTTGGTATGTCAGCTCTCTATAGTACCCAAGTTTATCAATTCTGCTTTCAAGCTTCTCCAAGTAAAATTCAAACAAAATAATTTTCCCAATATATTGATCAAGGCATAAATGATCTATCCCTATTGACCAAGAGTCAAATCGGACAATTTTATCCAGATGCCACATAATCTAGGATCCATCCACACCTTAAGTATATGCTGATTCTACCTCTTGGAATTCAGTCACCAAAGCACCTTGGTCATGGCTGATCATATTTTGTGCCAGAAGTCTATTAGGCGTACAAAAATCTTGGAGGTATTCTCAATAAATAAAGACCAAGAGGCCAGTAGGGTAACATACAAAAAAAGTTGTAACTGTTATCATTTCTAAAACCCACAACTGAAAACACTAGTGGTGAATGAGTGAATGAGTGGGATGATTCAAACTGTTTACTGCAAAAATAGGGGGTGTCCATTATTTCACTTAACATTGACTGAGGAAAAAATGAGAAACACCTCAAACAGGAGTACTAATTCCACCCTGAATCCATGCCTTTCATCCTTCCTTTACTATACAAAGTGATTCTGCCCTAAAGACATTGTGTTAGAGTTACAGTGTTTCTAACCAACTTATAGTCTGTTCAACTTAGTCATAACCAAAGCATCCCCAAAAGCAGATATACTAGCACGAATAGTGCTTGATATTTTAAGGAGAAAAATGATCCTTCACTAAGCCTGTCTGACACCATTCCAACATGCCAAGCTTTGTCCATGAACAATTGAGAACAGATGTGTCACTGAACACATTAAAAAGCAAAGAAATGTAGAAACTAAAGGTTCACACTTTAAATTTCATTCTGAGCATCACTGCATGAGTTTTCAATAATGTAAATCATGCTTGATAGATTATTTTCAAATTAAAACTGGAACCAGTGTGAGCACATGCATGCTATTTTTTTCATTTATAATGTTCTGATGTAGAATTAATTCACTTAGTGTTTAATAACTCACCACAATGCAAAAAAAATTAGATTAAAAAAGGCAGTATTTTCTTATTCTATACTTAAGTCTTTAGAGAAAAAGAAAACACAAATTGATGCCATCTGTAGTACTGTGTTCTATGTTGGCACCCACATTTAGAAAAGGGAGAAAGACAAACTATGAAAGTGAGAAATGTTTGCCAGGAGGACAGAAGGCAACTCGCTGTGCACAGTTGAAGGATTCAGGGATATTTAAGACAGTTTATAGGCAAATTTATCTCAGTATCTCCACAGGTTTAACCTATAGCCCAGTAGTTCTCTCTTATTTAAGCACTATTCTTGGCTGTCACTGCTTTTTAACTGTTTGTTGTGGGATCTCCAGTCATTCTTGTCCTCGGGACTATTGTTTTGGTAGCCAGAGTTCTTGCGGGCTCACAGCAAGGCAGGAGGCCACTCACCAAGGGAATTGTCCTGGGATAAGGAACATACTGGGAAACCAGTATCTGCTGAAAACAGCAGGCAGATATTATAATATGCTTTGACTAGCAGGAACAATGGCCCTGGTCACTCCACTCTAGCTTACATCCCTATTAACACCCCCCCCCACATGTACACTCCCTGTGTACTCGACCCACCTTTGTACTTGATTCTAATAAATACAAGACTGCTTTTGGACAGGGGCTGCACATTTCTTCCCAGTGTAGCCCCTCGAGGCTACTCATTGCTCCAAACCCACTTGGACTTTGCATAATCATTCCCTTGTCTGGTGATGCTCCCAATGCTGTCACTCTGCAAGGTGGCAGTTTGTCATCTCCATCAGCTCCAAGAGGTTCAAGCCCTGTCTTGCTTACCTTTGCATTTACCATACCTGTCACAGCAACTGAGAGCAAGCAGAATAGCATACTGTTTTATCAATGACTGGTTAGGTAAAAACAAAAAAACAAAAATCTGTACTTTGGCATCATCCAACAATTAGAATTCACCACCATGTAGATTTTGACCCAATATTAGTGATTATTTTCTAACAGAACCATTTTATAATGGTTGCTGAGGTGTTTAAACAATGTTAAGACCACAGAAATGTATAGACATAGTAAATGATAATCAAATTCTTGGATCTAGAATTGCATCTGAAGATATTTAAAATGTTTGCTAACCCTGAGGCTCTATGATTCCAGCATAGAATTTTCCCAAAATTGGGTCACAATTTAAATTAACATCTTTTGTGTGACTGTGGAATCAAAGATAACATGGTCTCTACTATAAACTGCTTTTTTTTTTCTATTTAATATGCTTTCATTTAATATGTGTGCCAAGAGGGTGACTTAATAGAACCAAATGACATTCCTTACTAAAGAAGGGTTTAACACTTTGGCTATAATGGATAGGAACAAAGCATACCATAGGGAATTAATCAAGTTCCTTCACCCTCACACCACTGAATTAATCACAGAAAATGATCTCTATACTTCTTGAAAATTGTGTCTGCGTTTAATCAGAGGGTGGTTAAGCTACTTACCACGAAAGAATAATAAATCTTGAATCCAGGTTTAGCCACAAAGTAATCATCAGACTTGAATGTGATTTTAATTTGGTTGGTTCTTGATGTTATCCTCGGAGGGACCTCCTTGTGTCCACACCAACGCCCTCGAATGACTGTACTGGTTTCAGATATATCTTCAACTTCCACAAAATCATACCTAGTATTGATATGACATGCATTTTAAAATTTGATGAAAGTACACTTCAAAATTCATCCTTTCTTTTTTTTGTTTTTATAAGATTTATTTATTTATTGTTTATACAACCACTGGGTACAGTCAGAAGCGCGGGAGGGTCAGAGAATTCACCAGAGCCAGAGCAGGGAGCAGAGCAGGCAGAAGGGCCGAAGTACACTGCTGAGGGGAGCAGCGGGCGGCAGAGAGGTCTGCGCGCCATGTGGGACCCTCCTCCGGTGGCCGGGGAGCAGCCGGAGATCGAACTGGCACTGGAGAGGCTGCAGGCAGCTTCGCAACCCAGTGCTCAACCGCTGCGCCACTGGGGGGGCCCCTCAAAATCCATCCTTTCACTGAGAAATCAAAACTAATGTGATTTCCCATGACCTACTATCTGAAATGAAAATGATAACCTACAGAAATATTAAAAGGAAAGCTAATTTTGTGGGCTACGTTTTCCAATTTCAGGCTCCTATAGTCTATTCTGAGAGAACCTTAGACATATTTAGTCACAACTGTTCCCAAAAGGGCTACTTTTGGAGCATATAATTTATCAGATCTCTCTGGAAAAATTAAGAACCACTATTATCATATTTTAAGAGATATAACTCTGATTGTATGTCCAACTATTTACTACAAAAATTTTTTCAAATAAATTCTCACTTTGAATTAATTTACCATGTTCTTAAGAAAATTATTTCTGTATCTACCTAGCATATAGACTCAGGACACACATTACAGAAAATAAGTGGTGGTAAAATAATACCAATCACTATCTTTTCTTTTTGGAAACTGTCTTTTGGAAGGATATTGTCTTAAAATATGGCATTCATCATAATGGAAAACACATGACTCTTGGGAGGGATGAAGCAAGCCAATGTCGGAAATACCTGTTCTGGTTAAACCAGGGTGTAGATGAACTTAGACCTACGTCATTGGTCAGAGAAACAGAATCCCAGGATCCAAGAAGACAGAAAAGGTCTCTTTAAATATTCCATATCATCATTTGATTCTTGAAGTCCTTGCATAGCATCCACCTTTCTATCACATAGTAAAACCTCTTCAGAGACAGAGGTTTCATTTTCTAGGGAGCATGTATTGTATTTTTCAGACATCCAAGTTCTTGGAACATTCTACCCGATGGGCTGAATTATGAGTTATGTGCTTTTGGTTCTGGGCCTTAGTAAGTCAATCCTATAATCTACCCTTTCCCAAATGATTTCAGATGCTAGAGACACAACACCAATCATAGGCAATCAGGACCAACAACAGCAGCAGTCTCACATCCATCATATAGATAAATACTTTTTTCTTGTCATGATAACCAAAAGGAATCAGCATGAGAAATATTCCTGTCTGAATATGAGGAAAACCCAATATGGCTTTATGGGTCTGTCTCCTGTGCCTTAGAGCTCTTATTGGATTGTGCAGAAAAACTAAAGAGCAGGTATACATAATAGTATGGTGACTAAATTTCTTTGACAGTGATGTATGAGGCCCTATGTCCTTTGCCTCAGTTTCCTTATGAGCAAAATAAGAAGATTTATACAATTTTTTTTTTCTGGCAGGATATCTCTTGGGTGCTCTGTAAATTAATTACTTAGTTTATGCGGTGCTTGGAAGGTGAAAAGCACTAACAAAGAACCATTATTCTAGCCATAAAATATTACAATGCAAACATTAAGAAGGCTTGGGAACAGATGGTAGGAAATCAGTTGCATTTCATTTTTTTTTTATTTTTTATTTTTTATTTATTTATTTATTTATTTATTTTTTATTATTTTTTATTTCTTTATTTATTCATACAAGCAAGCACTGGGTACAGTCAGAAGCGCGGGAGGGTGAGAGAATTCACCAGAGCCAGAGAAGGGAGCAGAGCAGGCAGAAGGACCGAAGTACACTGCTGAGGGGAGCAGCGGGCGGCAGGAGAGGTCTGCTCACCATGTGGGACCCTCCTCCAGTGGCCGGGGAGCAGCCGGGGACCGAACCAGCGCTGCAGAGGCTGCGGGCAGCTTCGCAACCCAGCGCTCAACCGCTGCGCCACCGGGGAGGCCCTGCATTTTATTTTAAATACTATATATATATATATATATATATATATATATATATATATATATCATATTTACTACAAAAAGCATGAGCAAACTTGAAACTTAGTTAATAATACAATAGGTCACTTCCGTTTTTTTTTTTTTTTTTTTTAATAGCACATCAGTGTGATTTTCACTCCGGGTCTAAAGTCAAGAGAGCCTCATTTTCTTTCTTAGGGAGGGTGTTGAGGTATCTGTGTGATTTCTTTCCTTTCTCTATTCCCTGCCTTTGTCATTTCTTATCCCTCTACTTTCCTCTATAAATTTTGAGGAACAGCTTAATTTGATAAAGGGTCAGGAAAGGAAACAACCCTAACTTCCTATCTAATTTTCAAGGCCAAGATATTGAAAGGGATCATTGACTAATAGGATCAAAACCCTGGTTTGGTGATGGAGACTTGGCTTCCCTTCCTTCTCTAATGATCTTTTAATGGAGGTTTTATTTTTTCAAGCCCTCTCTTTTTTTCCCCCAGCACAGAAAATTAGTTCTCTCTTTCAAGGTTGAAAAGACAAGATCCACTTTAGTTTATTCTCTTTGTAAATATTAACTTGCTTTTCCTGCCTGCATTTGTCTCTGCTTTCTAGCATACATTATCCTCTATGGTCCTGGAAAGTAATAGTCTCTGCTGTTCTTCATGGAAAAAAAAAAAAAAAGCAACGTAATAAAAGCTGTCAGCATAATAAACATGCAACAAAGGACAGCCAAATTTGAGGCACCCTCTCTTTATTATTCAAAGGAAAATAAACCTGCTGAAAGGATTTAGCAGTTCAGTAGTTCATTGGCAATGCAGAACAAGTACGTGCAGTCAAGTACAAAAAGGAAAAAAAAAAACAACCTCCCCAAGTCTTATACATACTAATTAAGTGAGTAAGATGCTGTGAGCCGACAATTCAAAGAACAACGGCCAGGCTTTCTCTGATAAATATGCTAAGAAGAGAGAAGATTATCAGGCACAGCTTTCATCTTCTATTGCTGACCCAGAAATGGCAGGCACCGACCCTCTGAGAGCCAAAGGCCTGCGGCTGTCTCCTCGTCCTTCTTACACTTAGCTGTGGTTTTAAAATTATGCTTTGTTTCAGGGGATGGCCCACGCACAGTCCTTGCCATCATCATTGTCCATGCATGGGCTGGAATCACAACACTGCCCATTTCTGAGGTCCATAACAGGTGGCCCAGAGCCACCTGGGGTGTAGATAACCCAGGGATACTGGATACTGGATGCATCTACCAGTTCATCAAAGCTGTTCTCTGCCTAACCAGTGCAGGGTGAGATCCGCCCCTGGGAGTCTTGCGGCCCTGGTACAGCCCTGAGCAGTGCAACCTGTGCTTTATGGAACAGAGTGGGTGTGTACTGGGTAGATGCAAAGAGCCCAAACAGAAAGTTTGATGGGGTGTCTGAAATGCATCATTTTTCTTTTCCCTTGGAATTTCACCCTAAAATGGATTTTACCCTCCACTCACCTACAGATGTCATTTTCCGCTTCTTCTAATCCAAACTGATTGTCAAAGGCTAGCTGTATCCGGGTCTTCTCCTGGGAGCGGAGCCGCCATGTCAGAAGCAGGTTCCTGGGGTAGCTGCTCGGGAAGCGGGGGCTCTGCAGGTGGCCGTTTCCTGTCACTTGGATGGTCTCGTCTCTCCGGTACAAGTCTGTGAGGTGATTGCTCTCTGTTAGTAGTCACAACTTGTAGAAATTAGTATGTTGCTCCAATTACAGGAAAGCAAAAAAAGAACAGTTTAAAACACATTGCATTTCAAAGCACTCCTGGGTTTTGTTTGAGAACATAACACTGAATGGCACCTCTTGGTTAGACAAATATATATTCTTCTATTATTCCCCACCTTCCCAAATTCTGTGCACAACTAGGCTTGGTACTTTGGTTGGGGGGGGGTGTCTTCTTAGCATCATCTTTGACATCAAAAATAAAGTTATCTCAGAATATTAATTACAATTATTTTATCCTCTCTCTTTTCCATGTGATACAAATATTTTCCCCTTTCAAAATATAGTATATATTTAGTTATTTGTAGGGCAGCACGCATGAAATATTGCAGAAAGTATCAGGAAGTGAAAAGCTGAAAGAATGAGCCTAGTGGTGTTTAATGAGCATTTATTTGATATTCAAATGACATTTTCCAGTGAGTTTAGCATAAAATTCCTAATTTATTTTTAGCCTTAGTTTTTGGTGACTTAAAATAAACACGACCTCTATTTTCTCTGTGTTGTATCAGTTAGAATTTGTTGGTTTGGTCTCTATTTTGGATAGCTGAGGGAACCTGTGAACCCTTAGAATTTCCCAGATGATAAAAGCATAATAACTGTAGTGTTTTCTTGAGTTTGAAGAGTTATTCTATATATGATATAACCTGAGGGTCTGGTGAGAAACCCTGTAGTTGGCCAGTTAGGTCAGAACTCACGCATGCAGATAGTGACTGACATACAGACTTATAGAGCAGGTGCCCTTGACTTTGAACACTGACCTAACCCTGGGTAGTTTGTGTCAGGATTGCAGTGCACAGTGTCACCATCCTTCTTCTCTCCCAGTATCAGAGTTCTTCATATTTTAGATTCTGGCCTTGCGGGTCCTCCCTAAGCAGACCTCCAGCTGCTGTGCATTGGGGTACTGGTGTTCTCCCGTAGAGAATTTACCAGCATGTCTGGTGGGAGGCTTCATAACTGGTAAAAACCACGGAAAAGTGGAGATACTGAGGGTGGTTGTTAAAAGTTTCCAGAATAACAGGTTGAGGATGAACATGCATTGCATGAGGAATACTGGAGCCTCTTTCTCCTGTTTACACTTTTTTTTTTTTTTTATATTCCTGGGAATTTCAACACCTTTTACTCGTTTGTGTTCATGTGCTGTACAAACTTGCCCAGTCAGACTGTCCTAGAAGTCCTGGGAGGAGCAGCGGTAGCTAAGGAGCTGAGGTACCTGGAGACAAGAGCATGGGCTTTTCATTCACTCAGCACCTCCATGGGCAAAAGCCTCAGTCGTCCCAAGTATTTTTATTAGGTGACCTTCTACTCTTCTCTTCCTTTGACGTTATGCTGATAATGCAGTTGTGAAAATTACTGTTGACCCTTTTTGTTATAAAGGATTTTTAGGTAGTGGATAAAAACTGTTTTCTAGAGCAACAGATATGAACTATTAATTAGTCAGTCAACAATCATTTATGCAACTTAATGTATCTTAGCATAATTTATCACAGTGTTTTCAACAATTATATCCAGTGTTACTTTCACAATTGTTGCCATATTTTCTTACCTTGAATACTATTATGTACTTAATATTTCTCTAAACTGTATTTTTGATCAAAAACATTTTGCCAAAATAAAACTTTTAATGTAAATGGCAATTAGATACCATTTGCCATGAACATGCAAGTACAATTATTAAATTAAAATAGCCATCTCAGGTGTTCTGATTCCTTGTTTATAAAATAAGGAGACTGGGAGGACATTTTCTTTTTGATCTTTTCTAAGGGTAAAATTTACTGCCCATTTTTTCAGTGTTCCAGATGTTAATTCAAATATAATTGAAGAATATTAAAGAATCATCCCTAGCTCTGTGCACCTGAAAGACAAGGTAGATGCATGCCACTGAGGTATACATGATGAGCAAAGGGTTACAAACCAAATAAAAGTAAAAAGCACCACCTACAATAAAATACAATGCAACAATAATGTACAAATAATCTGAGGAGTTGAGTGGCACTTCAGAGGTTGCTCAAGGTAAAGATCATGTGTGCACAGCGGTCAGAGCAGGGTCCAGGTGGGTGCACTGGGATGGGGGGTAGGGGGTTCACAAACTTCAAGGGCAAACTATGGATATATTTTAGAGTCAGCCAAAGTATTTGCCCTCAACATAGGTAGAGACAGGAAAGTTCTGGAAGGGTGGAAGTCTTATTGAAGGGATTGGCTTGCTGGTGACAGGAAAGACAGATGGGAGGGATGGCTCCTGCATGGCAGCTGCTTGAGCAATAAGGTTCGGACCTAGAAGAACCACTAACATGAGACCACATTGGGAAAAATCAAAAGGAAGGGGAGATTATGAAGGACTTCAGAGGGGTTAATCAGAGGGAGAGCAGCCGTCCTGGGTCCAGGGGTTTGTCAGGGTAATATGGACACACAGAGGTACTGGAAGGGACAGGTGATTGAAGAAATGCAGGTTTGGTTCTGGTGTGGTGAGAAATTCAAGTGGAAACTTGAACAGGAAGGAATTATGCTCAGTAAAATAAGCCAGAAGGAAAAAGAAAAATAGTGGATGGTTTCACTTATAGCAGGAATATAGGGGAACCAAATAAGACATCAGTGTAAAAAAGCAGTAACAGTAGAAAACACAAAAAGCAAAAAAAAAAGACAATTATAAATCAGAGACACACTGAAGGGGAGGAGGAGGGAGAGGGATCAGAGGGAGGGAGGGAGGAGCACAGGGGCCTGAGGTGATGGTGCACGGGTGCATTGGGGAAGGAAACTATGGGGACTACACCTGAGGGGGTGGGGGAAAGCAAATATTGTTTAAAAATGACCCATGATGTAAAAAATTAAAAACATTAACATAAAAATGTATCTTAAAAGAAGGGGCTTTCCTTCTTACATCGTTTGATTAATGCAAAACTTGTTTCCAAACTTATAAATTTGTTGAACTATATTGAACTGGAGGCAAAAAAGATTCTCAAGTTTTCTGATTTATTTTTTCTTAAAAGCAAAATAGTGCCAAAAATATATCCACAAACTAAATGTGAGTGAAAGAAAATAACTTTTTTTTTAAGAAAATAACTTTATAGTGCTTTTGTGTGAGGCATTATTCTACCACTCTGCATGTTCCAGTTATAGGATATAAGCTTGTGTGTGTGTGTGTGTGTGCATGAATCCATATATAATTACAGCAACTTGCTAAGGTAGGTATTATTATTACCACCATTTTTAAAAAAATATTTATTTATTTATTCATACAAGAACCGGGGTACAGGCCAGATTCGCGGGAGGGTGAGAGGATTCACCAGATACAGAGTGGGGAGCAGAACAGGAAGACTGATGAAATAGACTGCTGAGGGGAGCAGCAGGCGAGACAGGAGAGGTCCGCCGCGCCATGTGGGACCCTCGCTGGCCGGCAGGTATCAAACCGGCGCTACAAAGGCTGCAGGCAGCTTCACAGCGCAGCGCTCAACCGCCTGCACCACCAGGAGATGCCCTTTACCACCATTTGACAGATGAAGATTCAGAGGCACAGAGAGGTCAAGTAACTCAAGATCACACAGCTAGTGAAGGCTGCAGTTGGAACACAAACGTCCGCCACCTTGCACCCCAATAAAGCTTTCAACCACTGTGCTATAGCAGGGATTCTTCCTTAGCCTGAAATTTTCTAGAATGAATTTTAGATTCTTTGCTATCTATAACCCACTTTGACTTCTGAATTGTTTACATATAATTTATAACTGCATGCCAACCAGGGATATTCTTAGCAGAAGAGTGATAATGAATGATAAATACAAACAGCAACCTATCAGGTTAAACCTGATATAACCACAAAGTCTCATATACAAAGTCACATTCCTGAATGAAGGCACTCATTTTGGTGTTCCAATAATAACTAATATTTATGGAGCCATTATTATGTACCAAATACTCCAATAAGTGGTTAAATATGCTACTTCATTTACCTGATGGTTACCCTGTGCAACCAGTAAAATCCCACTTTCCAAAGGAAGCTCAGCAAGCAACAAACTTGTGGGATCAAGATGTGACCCTGGGCTATTTTCAGAGCACACACTTTCAACATATGAGCTGTTAAATTATAAAAATATGAAATAGATCACTTTTCATGAATGGGTAACTTTTATATATGTTTATTAAGCAAGAAAGTACATTCTTATTTTATATTTTAATACAGAAGGAGGTTCACATCCATATAAACTTGGAGCTATTCATATCGTTACCTGGCCAGAATCTGGTCTTTATTTGTTCCCTTCCTGCTGTGGAGTCCCAGGTTAACAGGAAAACCACAAAAGCCCCAGCCAGCCAATCACCAATGAGAAACAGACCCTCCATCCTGCTTCCCTCCTACCCCACCCAGATGATCTACCCCATCAAACCAAGACCCCCACCTCTCTCAGGCCTGGAGTGTGGCTAAGGGCAGCTGCTGTCCTTCCTATTGTGTGATACCCAAAAAACACTCCTTGCTTGAATCCTTGATTGGGTCTCTCTCCAAATTCCTTTCATTATATCAATAAAACCAAACAAGAACTCTCAAAGGTCAGTAGCAATATGACCGTCTATAAAATAAGCCAATAAAAGTGAAAACAAAAGCCAGAATGTGGCCTCCCTGGTGGCATAAGGGGTTAAGCAGCACACTATGAAGCAATCTGCAGCCACTGCAGCATGAGTTTGATCCCCGGCCGGCTCCGGAACAACCCACATGGCGTGGCAGACCTCTCCTGTCTCACCTGCTGCTCCCCTCAGCAGTGTATTTCAGTCCATCTGCCTTTTCTGCTCCCTACTCTGTCTCTGGTGATTCCTCTCACCCCCTGCATCTTTGGCACAACTCTTGTATGCATAAATAAATCTTTTTTTTTTTTTTTTAAAGCCAGAATGTTCTATTTGTCTATTTAGTTCCCAACTCTTTAAGAAAGCTCAGATTACCCAACCAAATATCCCAGGAGTTGAT